CTTAGGAGTCATAGAACGCCACCCTGGTCACCTAATCCAGTCACTTCCAAATGGCTCTACATCTAAGTGCTGAAGCTGGAATTGGTTTCTAGCTTTTTAATGATATGAGCATTAAGACTTGGGAGTTAAACAACTGCATTAGGTTAGAAACAAACTATATGGAAAGAGAACAAAAGATGACAAGTACTTACAGCTTTTCCTTGTAAGATCCATGGTAAATGTTGCCTTTTGACAGTCATTGCAGTTTTACAGCAGTCTAAGAATTCCATGCTTTTCACTTAGTTCTAAATGAAAATATTAGCAGAGAGAATATGCACCAAGAGTAGTTATAATGGTTTCGAGTGCTGATGTCATTGATTATTAATAGTGAACAGCCAGCTTTGCTCATTAATTCACAGCAATTTTGTTAGATGTCATGATATAGGTGAGCATTGATGTAAAACCAGTTGTGACATCTCAAGAGGTACTTAAAGCATCCAAAAGGGAATGGGACAGTGTCAGGATGATAATGTAAAGAGCAAACTAAAGGTTTATTCTATCAGCAAAAGTATTTTCACTAATTCATGAGAGAAAAAACTAACAGTTAATGAGTCTAACCCATCTAAAGTCGGGAAGACGTGAAATATGAGAACCAGGCATTTGAATACATAAGCTCTAAATCTAAATACCCATGTTCTGAACCCCAGTCAATTAAGGGCGCTGTGTCCTTTTGGCAGGATAAAATGAAGAGATTACCGTGGGAATGTACAAGGACTGTCAGTTCTCACTAAGTACTTCCGAGTCAGGAAATCTTAAGTCCCTGGTGCAACCATTGTGTGCAGTTAGGTTGTTTACCTGCATTGATAGTTTCCCAGACATTTCAATCATCACATAAAGGACAGTCCCTAAGATGTAACTTTTTTTAGGGCTGGTTAGATGAAAAGTTAAAGTGCATCCAAGCAAATTTTATTGAATGTCATTCATAAGGAGAGACATCTATGAGATTCTTAATAGAAAATAAAAGAAAAAGTATAAATGAGAATAGAAGAGCATGAGGAGGTGAGCTCAGATCATCAGGGTGTGGAAGGAGACAAATAACAACAACAACAACAAAGCATGACACGATGACACCTTAGGAAATCATGGACACTTGGACTCCTGGGGTTTACTGACCAAGCCTAGCTGAATTGGTGAACTTCAAGCTCAGTGATAGACTCTACCTTCAAAGAATAAGGTAGCAAGTGATTGAGGAAAACACCAGCCTTGATCTCCAGCCTGTGTATCCAGCCTAGTGTACTTATATACACATGCACACACACATACATTATATACAACATATAGAATCAGAATGTCATTGCACTCTGTTATATTGAAAACTGGATGAAAAAGAATAGTGCCTGCATACTGTAAAGAAAATGAATAGGAAGGATTGCAGGTAGGAATTTTTTATCCACTTTTATACCTGTCAAAAATATCCTGAAATATATTTGAGAAGACCTAGAGTATATGACCCACATTAAGAAAATATTCAAAAGAGCAAAGGGCTAAGAATAGAGATATCAAGATAGAACAAAGAAATAAAGCAAGTAAACAATGAACCATAGACACAACTGAATCCAAGACAAGGAGAGACAGCAGTAACATGTAAGGGCAAATAAGGTTTCTTGAAAAAAAATTCATAATAATTATAGTTCAGTAAGATTTCATAATAAGGCATGCTAAAGTATTCCAGCCAAATTTGGAATTAGTGATAACAAGAAAGGTGAGATAAAATGATTTAAAAGTCTTGTTGACCTAACTCAGACCCATATAGGGTTCATGATTGTCACTTGAGTCTCTGTGATCCCCTGTGTAGTTGATTCTGTGGGCTGTGTTCTTGTGGTGTTCTCAATCCCTTTGGCTACTAGAATCCTTCCTCCTTCTTTTCTTCAGGGTTCCCCTGACCTCACCTAGTGTTTGGCTGTAGGTCGCTGCACCTGCTTCTGTCATTTGCTGGACTATACATCTCTGATGGCAATTGGGATAAGCACTGATATGGTTGCCTACCTTGGTGTTTTTGTGGGACCCCTAGCAGCAGGAGTGGGGAGTATCTCTGACTCTTTTGTCTCTACTTGGAATACTTATACTAGGTCACCTCATCCAGTCTTGGTCTGAGGGTTTGTTCCTAGTCTTATAGTAACTTGTTATGATATAGTTGGTTGATGTCCCTGGGAGGCCTGCTCTCTCTTTATTTCCCCATGGAAATAGAGGAGGAAGAGTGCATCTAAGGGAGAGTGGAGTGTGGGGAGAATGGGAAAAGTGCAGTTGATATGAAATTGTATATAAAGAATTAAAATTTTCAAAAGTCTTGTCCATATGTATGAGGAGTAAAAAAAAAAAGTACAAAATTTATGTGGAAGATATCTTTTGAAATTTTCACCTTACGTGCCTTAATAAAAAGTTGATAGAATACTTAAAAACAATAGGTAACACATAGTTTTAAGAAAATACTTAAAACCTAAATGCACTAAACTGTAGAGAGACTGACTTGTAACAATGAAAACTATTGGAAACAGAGGGAGAGTTCTCTAAGGGAATGGACAGTAAGAAAGCAGGTCATGAAAGGAAGAGAGCAATCAGGGTGCTTGATTAGAAAAGTTTGTATGTTTCATAAATAATGGGCCTTTTCAAGGAGTATAGGCAAAAATCAACATGTAGTTGGCTACATAGATACCCTTGATAACTTTGGATAGAAAATAGACTTTATGGCTCACTATTTCTGATCATAAGCCAATAATATTAAAAAATATATAATGATAAGTAATCAATGAACATGTACAAAAGCAAAACTATAAACTACCTAGAGGTCAGTGAAAGACACAATTTATTTCCAAACTGTGTTATACTGTGTAACTCATACTCAAAAAAAGTTATAATTTTAAATTCTTCCTTAATTAAAGAAAAATGTGTCTGAGTGTGATACGACACAATTCTAATCCCAGTACTAGGGAGGCAGAGGCAGGGGAATTAGTGTAAGATTAAGGCTGTACTATCTGTTTAATGAGTCAGAACTATATGGTAGATCTTAAAAGACCACAGAAGGAGAAAATGAAAAATAAAGGTAGTAATTATCTTAAGAAATTACACATAAAAACAAAGAAACTCAGAAGACTTGAGAGTAAAGCCCAAGTCATGGAGCCCAGAAGCATGTCTTGAACTAACCTCTCAGCAGGCCAGCCCAGGTGTGTTGGGCAGACATGCAGAAAAAGGAAGGACAGATAAGTCTCAGAGATAATTTCAGGGCCCATAATTTCTCTTCCTCCTTTATTTCTCCTTTTGTCTGTTTCCTGCCTAGAAACAAAGAGGCCATGTTGAGAAAGGGGGTTGCATGCAGGATTCTGTTTCAGCATAAATCCTGAGGCTAGAGGGGATATTGTGCACAGGCTACCTGAACTTGAAACTACTGCTCAAAATTATGTGAGGAGAGTCACATAATTTTAGAATGTCGAGTCACTAAGACATGCAAAAGAGACCTCCCAGCATAACTATATTATAGTTATGTGGGCTGATGGAACTCATACTAGAACATAAGGTTTAGTGTGTTGGGTTTACTTTTAATATTCTCTTTTCGTTATCTTTTGTTCATCTTACCTTGCCACAAGACTCTCAGCAGCAAACTGTAACCCCTGAGCTTTAGTAAACCAAGACTTGTTGGAAACCCTTTCTGAAAGCTGGCATTTAATATTGTGAATGGGGGACTCTATATATAGTTACTGGTGTTTACTTCATGACTGAAGGAAAAACCTTTGCCTCTGAGCTTGACAGGGATCATTAAAGATCAATATTCAGTTTGTCTATTTTTATTCATTTTGAATAAGTACCTTCTTATGTACTTTATACCTATTTAATATATTTGAATTATTTGAGTGTTGGATGGTATTGGTGAAAAACAGGGCAGTATGGGGGAAGTACTAATTGCTTTTCTAAAAACTTGGGGCGGGAAGAAATCCTGTAATGAGAATACTAACATCTTCTCTTTCATATGTTCACTATGAATTAGAAAGTGATTGTGTGTGTGTGTGTGTGTGTGTGTGTGTGTGTGTGTGTATTTTCTTTATAGGAGAATCATAAGCTTATTAAACATCCAGAAATATGTACTGTCACAGCTTGTCCTGTATATAGCAGAGAACTAGCATTTTACATTGGTTTTTAACCTTTATTTATTCCAATGAACCCAGCAAATACTAGAAATAAATTGACAAACCTATTTTTAATTCTGATTATTATTCTACTAGTGAAGTTTTTGTTTTGGCTGTCATGTTTGGAGGGTAGTCATACAAAGGAACCTTTGAAAATTCTGAATTATGCAATTGTTGTTAAAAATAAAATTGTATGTGCACGACACCTTCTTATGTACTTTATACCTATTTAGAAAAATGGAATCAAGATTTATCTTAAGTTGACCTTTCTTTATTTTCTCATCAGAAGAGCTAGGGAAATTGCTTTATTCCATTGCTCATTTTCATATTGATAATATGAACTACCTCAAAAAGATAGCCTGAGGAAAATGTAATGTGTTCAGGTAAAGGACTAAGAAACATTGTTCCCACCACCAGTGCAGGTCTGTTGATAGTAGCTGCAAGCTTCTGGACTTGTCCATTTCTTCCTGAAGCCAGTCTATGCTACCTAGGGGACCTGGCCATGTTGCAACTTTCCATAATGTGGATATCTATTTGGCCTTCCTCAGCAGGCTGCCTGCATGTGTGTGTGTGTGTGTGAGAGAGAGAGAGAGAGAGAGAGAGAGAGAGAGAGAGAGAGAGAGAGAGAGAGCTTTATAAAAAATGCCTTTATGTACATTCATTGTCTTGCTGCATGTTGTTCAAAAATTGGATAGTTACATTTCCAAAATTATCAAGAGTTTGCATACCACATTTTGCTTTTCCCATGGATTTTCTAAAGTATGTTGTTCCTTTAGTTTCAGATTCAGAATGCTCAAACAGTGGTCAAACTCTTGTGCTTCTTTTCTTCATATCCATCTGCAGGATGAATATAAGCCAGAGAAGGCTTTGTCAGAAGAAGACTTGAAAAATGCAGTGAGTGTGCACCATGCCCTGGCATCCAAGGCCACCGACTACGAGAAGAAGCCGAATGTGTTTAAACTCAAGACTGCCGACTGGAGGGTCTTGCTTTTCCAAACCCAGTATGTTTGTTGCTTTTGTTATTATTTGGTCCTACTCTCCTCCTACTCATAGTCCTCCTCTTCCTCCCACTCTCCATGTAAAGGGGGAAGGAGAGAACCAGCTCTAACCTTCATAATCATACTTTGGCATGCACCTCCACCCACCCACCCCCACGCACACACATCATACATACGCAATAATAATATTTTTAAAGAATGATGCCATAAACATTGACATACAAATTTTTGTGTATCAGTGCTTCATCTCTCTTGTGTACCTATCTAAGAGTAGAGTTACTGGGTTGTGTTGTAAATGTGTAGTTAATATTTGAGGAAATTATCCAACTCTTTCCCACAGTGGTCAGGCATGTCTTTTTATACTTCCTTCTACTGTGTATGCCTCAGTTTGATTGAAAAAATGTGTGATTAAAAAAGATGAGTTAATTTTAATTGATTTTGGCCTAGACTAGCTTCCAAAAAAAAGTAGAGTTACATAGCATATATCCCATTTTCTGTATGTATCTTAAAGAGTCACAAGTTTGTATTATGATGACATTCTGTATCCTTTGATTGTATGAGCCCTGTTGAGATGTTAACCTCCAGTGAACCTTTATACTAAAAATAAATTATCATAATGTACCATTTTAAGTCAGTGGTAAGAAAGAGACAAAGTGTACTCTGCCTAGATACAGCACTATCCTAACATCCACGTGCCTTCCTCTCTTAGGAGTCCAGAGGAGATGCAAGGATGGATAAGCAAAATTAACTGTGTTGCAGCCGTGTTTTCTGCACCACCATTCCCAGCAGCCATTGGCTCTCAGAAGAAGTTTAGCCGCCCACTTCTGCCAGCCACCACAACAAAATTATCCCAGGTAAGCATGTGTGATCAGGCTCTGCACTTGGGAAAACATGTCTTGTAATGATATTAATTTAACTAAATTTTGTTTTGTTTTTTCAAGATAGGGTTTCTCTGTATTTCTTTAGAGGTTGTCCTGGAACTCTCTCTGTAGACCAGGCTGGCCTCGAACTCACAGAGATCCACCTGCCTCTGCCTTCTAAGTGCTGGGATTAAAGGCATGTGCCACCAATGCCCGGCTTAATATTAACTAATTTTTAATATTGACAGGTTCTGTATATTTCAGTCTATCTTTTAATATAGACCTTGTAAGAGTGAATTACATAAGTGGGGCAAATGCAGTATGCTCTGTTTTACACTTCAAACACCTTTGCATGCTTTTGTTTTTTCGGTCTTAATTTTCTGTCACCTGCCTAAGGTTGAATCAATATCCTGGCTTGGCAATGAGCTTTTCATCCTTTATCCATTTGCTGTTTAACTCCATTTGCTGTTTTATGGAGGAATATAAAAATATTTCCATGATTCCTTTCTCAATGTAGAGTGAGACCCTGGGGTAATTCCACTTTAATTCCTTGCCCTTGGGGAAAAGATGATAACATTATTTTCCCCTAAACTCATCAAAGAGCTCGAGCTCTTTTCTGGATTCATTTACATAGATTTATGTCTTTGCTGTTGTCAGATTAATCTATAGATTATCATACCCACTTCGCCTCAGAGCTGTCTTCAGAGGCACTGTCAACATTAACCATGTCTGAAATAGCCCCACTACCAGTGACCAGTAAAAGATTTGGGTGGTTACTTCGATGTCTTTACAACATTTTTGTTTCTTACTACAGAAGACATTGCATCTAACTGGTGGGCCAGACCCTGGTGTTAAGAAGCAGTTCAGTTTGTTGGACAGAGAAAAACCTAAGTCCAGAATTCTGCATGGTAGAAAGGAGAGGTACTAGGTGAAAGGTCTGATAAGAAGTTTAAAGGAAGACAAGCTAGCACATGGGGTGTGGTACAAGGGATGGAATGATCAGAAGAAAAGCACTGGTACAGAAGCTATGACCATGTTGCTATGGCCTGAGAAGCCTTGAGACGAGCAGGACAACCTCTGAGGAGGTAAGGCAAGGCTGTATCATGAAAGAACCTTGTCCTGATCTGTTCTACTGTAGCAGAATACCAGAGACAGTAACTGATTTAAAAACAAAACTCTTTGTTTCCTGTGAGGTCAGGGTCCTCCTGCTCTCTGGCAATCTTGTAGAGCATCACCTGGAGAAGAGAACAAGGGGCTGAGCAGGAGAAAGTTGAGGGTGTCAAACAGATTCTTTGCAGCCCACACCTCTACACAAAACAATATTCTCAATCATCTGTGAGTGTTGAAACTCATTCAACCTAGTCACCTCTTCACAGTCCCAACTCCATATCTCCGCAGTAGAAATTAAACTTCCATGGACATCTTGGAGGGGACACTAAACCATCACATGTTTGCCATGTGTAGGATTTTGAATGCTTTGGTAGCTGCCCAGTATCCTCAAGACAATAGCCTTGAGTAGAATAAGAATGAGATCCAATCTGTAATGTAGATGTTATTATTGTTGCTTTATGACGGAAGAGTTTAAAGAAGATGGTACTAGAAGCACAAAGGCCCTTGAAGGAGCTTTAGCAATCCAGAAGAGAATACCTAAGCTAGCTGTGGATGGACACAGAAGCATTTGAGCATGTGACTGGAACAACCAGCTATGGTGTTTCTGCATTAAAAAAAGCAGAAGGGAAGTCAGATAAAATAAAGACAAGAAGTAAGTTCTACTAGGTGGCAGAGAAGTCACTGGCTAAACTTGATGGGAACATTTTGACTGCAGTGATGGGAGTTGAATCCATCCTGGCCTCCTTTGATGAGGGAATGCAAGCTGATGAAGATGGGGAGAAAGGGGGTGGGCACAGGTATTCCTAGAGTTAAAACAAAAAAGCCACTAGTAAAAAAAAGTGGCATGGCTTTGGGAAAGATTATCCTGTGTTTCTAACTTCTATTAGATATTCGCTATATGTGCAGATAAGCATTACTTTTGCTGTAAAATTCATCTTCAAACGTATTAGGGATAGAAATAACCAAGCATCAGAGAAGAGTGGCATTTAATTTCTATGGAGAGTATATACAGTGAAACATTTCCAGATCTTCCCTGATGTCAGAGTTCTTCCTCTCCTGTTGAGAACCACTGCTTTTCCCAGTGATTGTGTGTCTGAGAGCTTCAGATCCACAGAGCCCCAGTCTAGTCATGGCCTCCCTGAATGACAGAAGCTCTTGTGTAATTCATTTTTATTGATTTATTGATTCTTTTTACATTTCATTTTACATTTCAACCACAGTTCTCCCTCCCACCCATCCTCCAGACTCCTCTCATCTCTTCCCAGACCACCCCCAGTCCACTCTTCCTCAAGGGTAAGGGCTCTCATGAGGAGTCAAAAAAGTCTGGCACAGGCCCCTCTCCCATGCATTAAGGCTGAGCATAACTTCCCACCATAGGGAATGGGCTCCAACAAGCTAGCTCATGTACCAGGTTTGTGTCATGGACCTACTGCCAGGGTCGCCTCAGATAGTCCAAGCTTCACTACTGTATCCCACATACAGATGGCCTAGTTCAATCCCCTGGAGTCTCCTGTTTCATAATTTGAATTCTTAAAGTTTATAACAACAAGGTGAGCACTCTCCTGGAAAAGTAGTGTTAGGAAAAATTAAAGGTTCAATTAAGAGTGTTTGCTACTTTAAAACACATTTGTTCATTATCCTGTCACTTGTGGGCTTTTCTTTAATTTGTTCTTGTCTTTCCTCCAAAACATATTAGCCTGAATTATTAAGACTGATTGCTGCCAGTGTGGCAGAGCTCTTCCTGAACAGCTCTGCTGTGTGGGAGTCACCTTCTCTGTTGTTTTCCTCGTAGTGCTGCCAGAGTACATTTTTCTTCTGTGTGTAGGGGGAGGGGTGGGTGGAGAGACTACTTTAAAAATATAAAGTTTTTCTCCTCCTTCTAGTGTAGCTGTCCAAACAGAATGTCATGCCCCACAATACACACCTTAGCCACCAAAGCCAACAAGCTTTTCAAGCTTTGACGGGCACAGAATAATCTGAAACTTGTACCAAAGGCCCAGTTTGCAGCCCTTTGTGATGATTAAGATCCAGGCTGAGACAGGACCTGTGCATGTGTCTCAGATGCCAGTAGTTGACTAGGAAAAATGGTGGGTGGCATGTAGACTCATGACCGTGGCGCACTCGGCCTTCCTGAGGTCTTTCTACACTTCTGAGCACTTCCATCTAAAGTTACTATTTCTGGTATCTATTCCTATTGTATTTGAATTCCAACCATTTTCCTGTGTAAAAGTTTGAAATGGATGATCATTAGCGCCATTAACTGATGGCAAGCCATAAGATGAATGCTGGTAAGAAACAAGAGTCCTGTGCTCACTTTTTACACTGAAGTCTCCACCTCTTACTAGGTGGTAGGTATTAAAGAAAGCCTCTTACATACCAGGAAAGCAGTCTACTATTGAGCTATAGCCCAGCGAATTCCTCCTTTAGTCCTGTGGTTTGGTCAAGGATGGGACTGCTTAGAAGACACTAAGAATGTGTGTGGTATGATAGAAGAGGCCTTCCTCACTGGTCAGAACTATACACCTCACCGCATACACACTTCTGCAGTCACTCATGTGATGGCCTCATGTCTGTCTGCCTGTCTGTCTGACTGTATGTATGTATGTATGGAAATGTCTTACTGACCCTCATTAATGAATAATGTTAATGCAACTAGCAAAAGTTAATCCAAGTGCAGTGAACACATCTATAATTCAGCTACTTTGGAGAATGAGTCAAGACAACTGCTTCAAAACCAGCCTAGGCAATGTATCAAGTAACTAAATTTAAAAGACAAAATGTGAAATGCCCTTCAAAATGAAAATACTATTAGGTAAGAGAAAGTTAAAACTCCTTTTAAATTTTAGTTGACTTAATATGAATTGTCTATATTTACAGGTTCAGAGTGTTTTCATAGTATGCATACATAGTATGCAATGATTAACCCAGCTAATTGACACATGTGCCACTTTTGTGACAGGAACATTTGACATTTCTTTTAGAAATTTTGAATTATGTATCATACTATTATTAATTATTATCATCTTGATATACTATAGAATTCTTGAATTTATTCTTCCTGACTGACATTTTAATCTTTGGCCAATATCTCCCTAATCCTCACAATCCCCAGCCTATATAGCCACTATTCCACCATCTAGTATCATGGGTTTGACTCTTTTGAATTTCCCATATAAGTGAACTCATACAGTGTTTACTGTGTTTCCATGTTGTAGTATGTGACCAGAATTTCATTTTTTAAGGCTGAATATATATGTTACATTTTGATTACTCATGGTCTCTGTTGTTGGACACATAGTATATGTCTATATTTTAGACATTGTGAGTAATGAGAGTGCATGTATCTTTTTTTTTACATTATTTCATTCATTATATAGCAAAATGGGATGGCTGGATCATCTAATAATTCTGGTTTTAGTTTTCCAAGGCCCTTGCATGCAGTTTTCCATAACTGCTGTGCTGTTACATGCCCTCACAGTTCTGAAGCCCTGGAGATACAATGTCTAGGGTGCCAGCAAGGTTGGAGTCTGAAATACTTCCCTTTGAGCTGCTTCTGATTTCTGTCCTTCTAGCCTTTCCTTGCTGTGTAGAATGCATGCAGAGTGGTCAGGTTTTCTAGTGTTTCCTAAACACACTGGGCCTTATAATCACCTTGAGCTTCCATCTTCAACTATAGGTACATGGGGGTTAGGCCTTCAGCATGTGCATTTTAGAAAAGGAGCAATCTGTAATATGGTCTGTATACTACTTAGCAGAACATAATAGGTGAAAAAATTAAAAAAAAATCTCTCTTGAGAGTTTTATTGGCTTTTGTCATTATTAGTGCACAGCTGATGGGTTTTCCTAAATCTTAAATATCTCTCCAATTTTTGCTGGGATTACTTTGAGTATTTTGTTATACCTGGTACATCAAATGATTTGGTCCTATTTTCATCCTTCACTCCATGATTCTCTTTTTTTTTTTTTTTTTTTGAGACAGGGTTTCTCTGTGGCTTTGGAGGCTGTCCTGGAACTAGCTCTTGTAGACCAAGCTGGTCTCGAACTCTCACAGAGATCCGCCTGCCTCTGCCTCCCAAGTGCTGGGATTAAAGGCAGGTGCCACCACCGGCCGGCGCACTCCATGCTTCTTGTTTTGCATTCACTTAGTTTACTTTTCATTTTTTACTTTATATTTGATGATCTCAAATGTTCAGGTTATTTTCTTTGGGCTCTAGGGATCTCACTATGTTAGAGGACTCTATGGTACTTTATTTGACTCATGCTTTCTGGGTAACTTTTTACTTATAATAGTCTTTAGTATTTGTAATTATTAATATTCTGATAGCTTTAAAATCCATCTCTATTCTGCTGTAAAAATTTTATGATATAGAATCATGCTTTTGTTATGTAAAATATATTGGTGCTTTTCATTCCTTTTCATCTGCCATCCATTTGTTTTATACTGCACATGTAAAATTGCTCAGGATTTTGAACAGTTTTCATCAAAAAGCAGAATGCTAAGCAGTTACACAATTGTAGGGATGCCAGAGATTGCAGTATTTTTGTTTCAAGCATGTTGAAAGCTGCTGGGTGCCTATTATGGGTCTATAATCCCAGCACTCAGGAGGTGCAGGCAGGAGGGTAAACTTTCAAGACCAGCCTATTCTACTCAGTGAGCCTGGAAAAACAAAATAGAAAGAAAGAAGAAAAGAATGAATGTTGCAGGATCCCTACAGGTGTCCCTTGAAGGTGGGGGAAAGTAGGCAGGACACCAATGACATAGGCATCGGGAACAAGTTGAAACAAGAAGCTCAGTTTATTCCAGAGAGGGGTAAACCTTTTATACTCCCCAGCCCTGCCCCAGGTCAGAAGATCCACTGAGCTGGCCTCTGCTGAGGCAATGTGGTAGCTGTCCATAGGTCCATGTCATCTCTCTGCTGTGGCCAATACCCTCTGCCAGACCTGGGCTGGATGTCAGGAAATATCTACTGTGCATGCTCTACTGTCAGGCCCATTGAGGCTTAGTTTTCCCACAAATGAATATTTTCAGTGTCTTCTGAGACAGCTGAACAATTTATCTACTTTGGTAATATATTACTAAGTTGATATAAATGGTGTCCAGGAATGGAAATCCTTATATATTGAATTGATAGTACTGTGCTAGTACCGAGTGTATGGACTGACACTGTGCATGCAGTAATCTCACTCAGTGTTTAACTTTAGGTCAATGGAATTAAAACAAGTAAGAACCTCTGCCACTCTAGGGAAGAATTTCTTCTGCAGATAGGTTTCACAGAAGCATTTTTACGTAGAACAATTTCTCCCCCAAAAGGAAAATCTTATGTAAAAAAAAATGCTCATTATTACAAACAGGGAGAACCTAATAGCATTGCTGAGTGGGCATGGAAGGAGAAGCCAAATTATGTGGCTCTCAGAAAAGGTGTTTGTAACTTGCTTGTCAGGGTTTTTTTAAGTGGCTTTGTCCCTACTTGGTGACAAGTACAGCTGGTAAAGAGCTCAGAAATGGTGTGACTTTGTTATAAGAGATTGGCCAGTATTGTTAGTCTCTGTTCCATCTTAAAAGGGAACATACCAACACTGGCCTATTACAGTTGGAAGGACTTATAACCAAAGACTCCCTGGACCACTTTGATAAATTGAAGTCATTAAACAGAAAGGATTTTACAGGCATCTTGTGCTTCTCTTTGATTATTTTCTGAACACTGAATGACTTCATAATTTCCTGCAGGAGGAACAGCTGAAATCCCATGAAAGCAAGCTGAAGCAGATCACGACTGAGCTGGCTGAGCATCGCTCATACCCCCCAGACAAGAAGGTCAAAGCCAAGGATGTCGATGAATACAAGCTCAAAGATCACTATCTGGACTTTGAGGTATTGTGAGCCTAGAAGTTACTGAGTGCTTGTTTTATGATCCATCTGTGAAGTAAACCCCTCATAGAAGTCATGGTAGTGAGTTTGCCTTGTCCTGGCTCCAACTTAGGATGCCCTACTATAACAGGAGTCCTTGTAGCTCCTTGTGCTTGGGATTTTATTTAGGCACCAAATAAATATCAAAGTGCACTTCAGACAGATAGCCTCCTAGTAGGAATAGTGTGCACCTGTGGTAAGGGTTAAAAAAAGAACAGCAGTAGAGGAAGCATGCCAGGAGGACAGCTGCTTTCTGTGACCCTGTGTTTCATCCAACAGAGTTTAGGTCAAAATAAAGTATGGTGGAGGAAATGAGCTGCGGGGTGATAGGAAGCATCTGCTCATTCTGGTACACCCTTGCTGCTAGGTGACGTCAGTACACTTTTCTCCACCACTCACCGCCCTGCTTTCCAGAGGGGGATTGATGAATTAGGTCTGGGCTCATTCACACTCATCTGGTGTTGCCGGTGTGATGATGATGAGAAAGGTAGATTCCCAACCAAGCTGAACACATTTTCCCAAGTGTACCCTTTGTTTACAGTGTCTCTCAAATCATAGCCAGTATCCTCCATCTCTCCCTCTTGACCACCACCTTCAGATCCTTAAAGTATCTTTCTTTTCTAAAAATCAAAAAAAGAAAGAAAAGAAAATGGGAAAATGTATAAGCCACACGTTTCTCGTTTTTCACATACCCTTCTGTCAGGTTCCATGTCCTCATTCTTCCTCGTTCCCATTTGAAATGCCATTTCCTCCTCGAGATTGAAACTGGGGGCATCTGAGCACTTGAATCCCAATCCTGTCTTTGGGGTGCTCCACCTATACCCTCTTTGCCACAGCCACTAGCTCGGTGCCACCTCTGCACCAAGCCTGGCTTCCTTTTGTCTCATGGGAACTAGCAGTTGTCTCTTGCTGTCTTTCCTGCCTTCAATTCATCCAACTCCTTTTCTTTTTTTGTTCTGAGGACCAACCTCATTGATAGTGTCACCTGTTCCACAGCTGTCCCAGCTCTTACACCCAAATCCCTTTTATCTTCCAGATAAAGTTCCACATGTGAATCAGAGAGGATTTGCCTTTTCCTCTTTTCTAGACCATGATTCTCTCCACACCCAGTAGTAATATTTCTAACCCTTCTCACCCAACCATATACATTGCTTCGTTCAGTTACTTCTGCCTCCAATGTCTTTCCTATGATTTCCATTTTTCCTACTTACTATTTTTCAAGGTAAGACCCAAACCTCTGCTATGAAAATCTTGTTCTCAACCTTTCATAAAAGTCAGTCTGCTGTGGAACTCACCCTAGGTTGGCTCTGTATTCAGCTTATATTAGTCTGTTTTTGTGTCTGAAGTAGATTCTACAGGCCCCCTATGCAGCATGGCCAGGGCCCTGTACTTGCTTGTTGAAGCTGCTACTTGAGTTGTGGCTTTCTTTCTTTTTTTTTTTTTTCTTTTTGGTTTTTCGAGACAGGGTTTCTCATGGCTATGGAGGCTGTCCTGGAACTAGCTCTTGTAGACCAGGCTGGTCTCAAACTCACAGAGATCCCCCTGCCTCTGCCTCCTCTGCCTCCCCAGTGCTGGGATTAAAGGCATGTACCACCAACGCCTGGCTTGTGGCATTGTACTTAGGATAGACTTAGATGGCAGAGCCATCCATGACTCTTCTCCATGGTAAAGGAGTCTTTGGTCCAGTCAAAAAAATCTAGGAAAAATTGAAAGTTAGTTTGTTAACAAAAACTACTGAAGCCTGACCAGCAAAAGACTTGAAAAATCAATGAAAAACAAAGTGAACAGCTCATCTTTGGCCAGGCTTGTTCATTCTTGGGAAATGTGAGTTCTCAAAAAGCAATCCTTATTCTTCACACTTCTGGAATAACTTGAAACTATGGACTCATCTTTGTTTCGCACTTTGTAATTAAATTTCCAAACACCTCACTCCCCAGCTTCCAATACTCAGCACCTTGCTTTGAGCCCTTGACTCTAGGAGGAGAGCCTTTCTCCCAGGAGGTGAGTCTTTTGCAAGACCACAGGAAGGTAACCACTGCTAGCACAAAAGGCCAATGTGTGGATCTTCTGTAGGGCATTTTCCTGAAAATGGAGCCCACCAAGAAACAGCAGTTTTGTTTCCTGAACCCTGAAATTAGACCAGCTTCGGGGAAATTAGGTCTTGTCATCATTGCCTCCTTGAGGAAGGTTATATTCCAGGACTTTACTCATTAATTAAAAGTCAGACTCAGGCTAATGTGTCAAGTGTGTTGAATTGTCTGTCAGGCTGCATTAACCTGTGTCAATGAGGAAGGTCCATGGGTCCTTCCTGTGTGAATGTCATTAAAAAGGATTTCTATGAGGTGAATAAATACTCTTGGAGAAGCAATTCATTGTTTTTCACCAACTCAGATGAAAATTGAAATAATGGGTCTTGGGGAATCTACTGTGTTGTTAGTTCATCCACAGAATTGATTTCCTATTGGGTACTTGTAAAGGCCCTCCCTTATTTCCTTGATAGAATTCAGGGGTCTCTCCTGAATAGAATGTAGTCCAATTTGTGTATTTAGCTTATAGCTGTACCCAAGATCCTAGAATATTTACCAGGTCCGTGATACTCAGCTGAATGACTCAGTGTAACTTTATCATAGCACATAAAGATGACATGAGAGAAAGGAGTGCATTCAGAAAGCTTATGTCCTTTATGTAGGGACAGATGCATATGTGACAGCAAATCCCATTAGCAGGTGAGAAGAGAAGAGAAGGCCTGCAGGTCCACAGAGCCTGTGGATGGTCAGTGACAGGAGGCAGGTGCTCATCCAGCCCACATTGTCACTCAAGGAATCACAGGGTCAGTTCTCTTAGCTCTTGAGGATTGAGTCTCACCTACTCCATGGCAGGTCACTATCTAGAAGCCTCCTTTGATTTCATAGCAGTTCTTATCATTTCCCCAAGCTCAGAAAGAAAAGCATTTTTGTTTTGGCAGGATATTAAATTGCTTGTAACAACACTAGGAGTGTTCCTATGTTTTATGCATTTCAGTTAAATCCCAGGTTGCTTTGAGGACAAATAAATCTTCATGGCGGGCCAGATTCATAGCTTTCTGTATGGCTAAGAATATCTGAAAGCCCTCACTCAGTAAATAATTAGAAATTCCAGTAAATGTATAGGTTTATGACTTAAACAAAGAAATCTACAAAAAACAAAGAAAATTTCATGTTAGCCTTGTAGGAAAAGGTTCATTTTTACCTAAAGCAGTAAATTTCACTGTGAATGGGCTGTAATTAACAAAGCCTACACCTTTTGCTCTGACTAATATTTGATAGAAAATGGACAGTTTTATTCTTGACTCAATTAGTACCCGAACCATGGCCTTTTTCTTGGAAGAATTTCCATGTAAAGCTTGCTTTTGGAAAGAGTATGCTCTGAAACAAAGTTATTAAGCATCACAAGACCACAATAAAGGAAACTGTTGTTTCCTGATTCTGGGAAATACAAATCTGTGATAGCCACACATCCTACACACACAATAGCTTATTTCTGCTTTATTTAGTTCCCATTTTATTATAAGGTGTTTTCATTGGTTTCCAAACTCTGGGTACATTAGAAAATATATAAAGATTTAGAGGTAAGACAGATGGTTTGCAAATAAGGTAAACACTCATAAAGGTCCAGCCAGTCAAGGCACAGTAATCTGAGCTTTGCTGGGAAGCATTTATGTGTTTGAAGAAGTAACATCATAAAATTCTCTTGATGACCTTGTCCTCACCCCTTGTATTTGGCTTTAAAAAGCAACATCTACTAGAAATGAAGACACTGTTTATTTCAAGGTGTGTTTCAGGCAGAATTTAAGATAGTTGCAATAGTTAACTAACTGATCCTTGCATTGAGTTCGTTAGACCTGAGGAGAGAGAAGGTATATCAGTATAAACCTCTAAATCATTGCTGGACTGTGAGACATTTACTCAAGAGGGATTAGTGAGGTGGATTGATCACAGGTTCACAAAAGCAATTGGAGAGCCATCTGCAAAACCAAGCCTAACTCAATGTTCATTGATTGTATATGGCATCATATTGTTTTATTTGCTTTGCTTGCAGTGGGAATTCATTTAAGCAAAAGAAGCTATTTCCTTCCTGCTGGGTCCATCATATCACATCCAATAGCTCTGCATCTTTGTTAATCCCTGTAGGTGTCTGAATCTCCCAATCCTGTTATTGAGACTGCAGCCAGTTGTTTATGATCAGATTGTTAGTTGGACCATTGAATGTTGGCTTCAGAATTCATCATGATATAGTTTGTGTACCACACAAAATTAGTGTGTCAGAAATAACCCTCAATGTAATAGCATTGAATGGTGGATCCTAATAAGTGAATTCAACCCTCTGCTCCTCACCCACTCATGTCCCTTCTTGCATTCTCCCTTGTGCTGTAGTATGATGCTGCATGAAGACTCACAATTCTTTGTTCTTTATAAACTGCCCCACCTTTGGCATTCTCTATCACCACATAGGTTGATAAACAATAAGTACAGAGAAGTGAAACTTTGTTCTGTAATAAATGGCTGGAAGTGTGAGAGTGACTTTGGAATTAGGCAATGAGTAGGGGATAGCACTGTTTTGAGATAAATGCTGGGAAAACCTTTATTGTCACAAATGAAGCATAAAGATGATTCTGCTAAGGACTCAGAGGAAGGAAACAGCTAAATTAAGTCCCATGTTTCCTAGAGTGCTTCAATGGTGTTTGGCATAATATAGACACACTCCAGGAGCATGAAGTCTCAGAAATGAGAAACAGTGTACTAAAACCTGGAGTCAATGCCATGCCTGGTAAACAGTTGCAAAGAACTCAGCAGAATTGACTGTAATCTAGGCCCTTAAGGAAGGCTAATTTAAAATTAGTAAATTCAGATAATAGAAGAAATTTGTAAACAAAATATCAAAGAAGTAGCTTGGCTACCTTTAATCCCATACAGTAAAGTAAAAGA